ATCTCTAACGACTTCACAAAGCCGTCATTACGTACGCGGCTTAAGTCTGACGGAAACACATAAAACTCGCCCATTTATACAGTATTACTTGATCAAAACCCTTCTCTGCATAACTCGTTTGATGCCAAAAATTGACGTCTACAAATCATCCTATATGGTGTATGGTAGCGCTGAGAACATCGACATGCTATCGACTGAAGACTTTTTTATTTTCAAAAAGGAAAGGTCAATTACAGCACACAGTTGATAATGAAGTGTCCGCATTAGCTGATGGTGGCTTTCAATAAGAGTTCGTTGATGGGGCAAGAAATAAGTGTCCGTTGTCCGCATTAACGGGTGTCCCTATTGAATGGGTTGAATTTTATAGAGAAAATGTACTAAGGGCTTTCCCCAGGGACAATGAAAACTGTCCGTAAAGCGACTGTTTTAATTTCTGTAAAATATCTGTTCGGAGAAGCAAATATTGCCTAGAATCCGCTAAAAATGTCTAGATGATCCAGTCGTTCCATTCATGTGCAATTTTCGAAGCTATGTCTTACAATTTTCCTACGATTTTCTGAAGTTTAATTCTTCACATTTGACTCACCAGGTTAGGTTATTTTTCGTCGAAAAAGGAAAACTAAAATTTTTTGATTCAAAAATGTGATGGACAGAGGAATCCGAAAATTCTTTCTTTCGTTATCACTACTACATACCACCGCGTGACATTTACTCCGATCGCCAAAAATTTTATGCTATATTGTAGATTGATCTATATGCTATCCATGCTATATGTTAGACTTACGATCAAAGTAAAGGTGGGGATACCAGAGGGCTTCAAAGTAGGATGGTACCCACAGAAAATAACCGGATCGAGTCACTTTAACTCCCTAGATTAGGCTATTTTTCGTAGAAAAAAGTAGACCTAAAATTTCGGACTCAAAAATGTGATAGAGAGAGGAATCAGAAAAATTCTCACCTTCGTAATACGTTAAATTGCATCTAAAATTTTCGGGAAAATAATACTGAAGCCCTTGTAATTTCGAAGACTCGAGTTGCCCTGGGACGATATGAGAGTCCCCGCCTCTCGGGTTATCATATGCCCGAACCTACATTGGAAATCGCATGCTGATGTATTGCTAAGACCCCTTAGAATGCGATGGCAATGAAAATGGGTCAAAGTTGTTTTATAATCAGTGATTCCTTTGACATAACCGTATCTACTCGAATAAGCGCAGCGATGCTTATTAAAATTTTCACTTCTCAAATGTGGTGCTTATTCGAAGTGGCTCTTATTTGAAAGTTGGACGCTACTTCTTTGCTTCTTTTCAGTTACCGATATTATTTCATTTTATGAAAGAAACGTCTTTTGGTTTTGCTTGCATCGGGGCCGCGCAGCTTATTTGGGGGAGGCGCCTATTAACTCAGTATTTTTGTCCCAAATGCGGCACTTATTTGAGGGCGGTGCTTATTCGAGTAAATACGGCATTTTACTATGAAATTTTGTTTGTTACATGGAAACTATAACGGAAACAAGACGTCCTAGGGTTCCGTAAAAGTTCTAAAAGTTGACCGGTCTGATTTTCATCTCAGCTCTCTTGGCAGAGTAGTTATATCCTTTCCATGAATGCCAGTTGACACCATCACCATATGATGAATGTGAACCGTTGTAATAAAAACCATTCAAGTTTGAATGATGGCAACGATAGTACCACCAGGCTCCTCTGTAGACCACAGCGCAGTTACGTGGGGCGGCATCATGATCTTGGTCTCTGGTGCTAAACGGCTGGTCTCGATGCCACCTCGTTAATGAGTCACCAGCAGTTCCTAGGGGTCATACAAGGTCATTTTACCAGGAATGTTTGGAGTAGAATACCTGAATATAATCTAGCATTGAAGTACAAGAAAGGGGCTACGTTTGGAAAAGTAACTTAGCTCCTTTTGAAACTTCCTAGAGTTTTCAAGTTTGCAAGAAGTCAAGAAACCGCCAACAACCAAGCTTTGAACGAATAATTAAGACACGAAGACAAAATACTATACATCAAAATTAAATACATTCCAAGCACGATACCTGAGTAATTTCCTAGACTGAGCTTGTATTTAGTCGCTTCGTTTGTAACTGCAAACATGTCATATTCAGCGTAAGCAGTGTTGCCTGTAGTTTCCTCCAGATCAACTCGAAGCCGGTTGCGTTTCTTTTCCGTCAGGCGGTAAATCTTGTCCAATCCAAGCCAGAACTCACCATTCAGGTTACCAAACCCATTTTTGTAGTCATCCCAGTCACGGTAGAAAGAAACCGAGCCGTCCAGTCTCTTCTGGAACACTGTCCACCCCCCTCCGCTTGTTTTTTGATCACAGAACACTTCAAAGGCACCTTCACCATCAGGGTCGATTGTGTACACGCGGCTGATTCTTTTGCCAGCTTTGTATAGCTCAGCACAGTTCTTAGCTGTTCAGGAAAGATGACCTTAAAATTATTTAAAATAGAGACGAGACGTGTGACGTCACGCTACCATGGTAGCAAAATTACCAGATCACAACAATAGGGAGCTTGAGCAACGACGACGGTGACGGCGACGGCAAAGAGAAGAGCGAAAAAAGGAATAGGTTTATACTAGTAATAATTGCCAATTTGGGGAGTGCGTTCGATGGGGAGGGGTGGGGTGAGTTCACACTGTAGTGAGTGGTAGTCATAAGGGGATGTAAAACTTAAATGAGCTTGTGAGATTGAGAAATCAAAATAACATGTGTATTTCGGATCTCCTCAGAATATTAGTGTGCGACATGTATGACAATATGAGTCAGGGAAAATTTAACTCTTTCAAAGAAGTCAGAGGGAGGAGACATACTCACAGAAGTTAAACATGTTCCATTGGCAGAATATTGTTTCATGAAATTAAACGACAAGCAGATATAGGGTTTCCTATAAGATCTATCCATTCTGCACTTTACATTCACGATAAATTCATGTAATAAATGGGTGGAGAGGATAGCCGGCTGTGATGGGAGTTTCGTCATTTACTTCGTGTACCCGACACAGATGACGTAAAACAAAAGAACAAAAACCATGAAACAATACCAAGCAGATTTTTCCCTGAACAGGCAACAAAGAAGTGTTTTGTCTTACGTCATTTGTGTCCACTACACGAGGTTTTGACCGGAGTTTAGAAGCCATTGTCTGCACAAATTGTCAATTCATTTGGTCAGGAAAGTGTACATTTGGCTGTCATGATCAGTTTAGGAATTTCAAAACCTAAGCGTCTGGCAACCATGTCTCAACAAGCTCATGCATGTTGAGAATTGAGAAACTGACCACCTTCAACATGACTTGTACGTGGACATTTATGACGTTAATTTAGTGTCAATCAAGAAATCCCCTGGGCATATCCCTTTCCTGGTTATTGTTCCTGCTCAGACATCCGCAACATTTGCCTATTCTTCGATGAAGAATAGAACTTTACGCGACTAACAATAGCTCAGTCTGTTTAAAAACTGTCTAAATTTACTCCGAATTAGCATGTGACTTTTTGCTGTTAAATGCTTCAAAATTGAAAAATCCTCGATGATTGTTGTTGACGTTGCCGTAAATAATTCAATGCACTGACTTAAAATGAATTTTTACCTTTTACAAACTTCTTGGTGTTCGAATCGATCGATGAAATACGAACGCAACCGATGCGTTAATAGTTTGTTTACATTTTGTCACGGGTTTTGGATAATATTATAAACCTTAAAATTTACGGGCAAATTCGACGATAAAGCACTCTCACTTACATTCTTCATTTAAGATATTGATTTTAGCAAAGTATAAGGCAAAATTAACAGCGATACTTTCTTTAAGAACGCTATAACTACATATTTAACGGCCAAACCTAAACAGCGATCTAATCCGTTTCTTGAAGACAACTACAATACCGCTTCTGATAATAATATTTATAAACGCTGCAAACAATTTTATTCAATCTTATCGAGTGATTTTCGTGAAGATGAGTTTTTAAGTGAAGAATACTTTGGTTTCTGATTAGCTTTAACTGTTTTGCCATCAAAACGATTCGCACGAGACTACCGAATTCGCGAGGGTTTTATGTTAGTGTACGAGGAAGAAAAATGCTTCTCTTTGCATAAACTTGAAGCACTGACAAAGACATTCCAACACTTAAAACAATGGCAACCTACTTCTATTGTTTCTGCATTGTCTCTTGAAAGTGTGAGAATAGTTAACCGCTATGAAGTTCATAAGAGACCGAAAACGACGGTAGTCTTTGAAACTTCGTTTTTGCTCGCAAAGCCTAATGGGTACCCCACTTTTCACGGGCGACGTTTTTCAATGGGCGCGTTTCTGTAATGTTCACTCTTGCGTTTAATAGTCGTGATCACTTTCATAATTCTCATGAACATTTAAGACATTGCTACATGTAATTTATATTTCGGTGATTATGTTTGCACCTTACTGTTACTTACAAACAATTATTTGTCAGTGTGATTATGAACTAAAACAAGTGCAAACGCTCTCATTGCTGTAGCGCACTTAACAATATAATATATTTTTTTCCTTCAATTACCAGCATTTACTTGTTGTTTTCATCGCAGCATAATCTCATACAATTTCATCCACTCACTACTACTGACACACTTCACAAATAGTGAATTATAATTACACTTATTATTAGAGATGCCATCTAACCCAAATATTAAGCAAATGCAACTGCATATTAGCTTGCAGTTATTCACTATCACACCCACTTCCTTTTACTATAATTACACATCTAGAAGGGTCAAATGGGGTGAACACGGGACTAATGCAACATTGGCTGCCTTTCCTCGACAACAGCAATCCCATTTAAATCAAAGAAGATCCTTTTAGCCAAAGAACTGGGTCCAAATTTACTCCAACCAAAAGGAGATTAAGTACACCTCACCTTCCAATATTAGTCATATTAGAGCCAGTGTTGAATCCCGCCCTCCCATCCCTGTCATTTTATGGGCCTGAGCCTCTCGAAGTTCTGCGATACACGTATTTCTAGTTATAGACGTAGTTTATCGATCTGGCTGGTAAATTAAGTCGTGATGTTGTTGTTCATCTGTCAGTTAAGCCGTGATGTTTATGGCTGTGATGACATTGTTGAACACCAGTTACAGACGAACCACCAAATCGACACTGACTCTACGACCTGCCTTACGTATTTCTCAGACTGCTATCAACGATTCACTTTAGAAAGCTGATTTACCAACTGGGAACAAACGCAGCTGAATCGTAGTCAGAAGTTACCAGCACCTTCAAAACGACTTATCAACGGACTCAAGCAAGACTGGCTTCAGTAGAGTGAATGGACAACTGACAATTTGACTAACAATAAAACGACCGTTGTAACTGTGACAAAAGATGGATCGAAATTAGAGTCCTCACAGCCAATAACCGACAGACGACAAATAACACTGGTCAGGTCAATCAAAATTAAGTCAAATTCAATTTCTTGCGCTTCCCGCACGCTATGTTTAGAGGCAGGAGGGGCCATTTTTGCATCAACGAGTGTAAGTAGTTTAATTCTACAATTGTATCCAAAACTCCTTAGGACGATAAGGTTAGGCCATGAATTACTCCTCGCGGAGAGAGAATGGAATGCCCTCGCGTAGCCGAGGTTCCTAACTCGCGCGTGGAACGTGCGAGCTTCGCACCGTGATGCAGAAACACAAGTAGGCTCAATAGATATCTCCAACCCCGTCAAGCAAGTTTAACTTGAGTGGCACACTGAGTTTCCTCGAGGCTTTGCGAGACACGTATTTCTAGTGTAAATATTTTACAACTGAAGTTTGAACAAGCAATGCCTACCCTTTCTAACATGCGTTGGTGTAGAATGGCCCACATTGTAGGTAGAGGGGAGGTGCTGAGCAAGTCTAGGTGCATTCGCAAGCGACTGTTTGTTTGGTGTGCGTGTGTGTGTGTAAAAAAGTGTTAAAAGAACAAACTTGTCCCAAGACTTTTTTCCATGATTGTAGGGTAGTCTTACTCTAGAATTGGTAGAAATCTCATACAACCCCTTTCTAATGAAACGTAACGGGACCACCTCGGGTTCTCCTAGTATCAAGCAATTAAGACACTCATTCCTTCACAGAACTTCATAGAACTTGCAATCTATATCAATGACTATTACTACATAAAATTAATTTTCTCTTCAAGATAAATATGGTTTCGGAAAAGGAGTGATCAGTTTGGTTACAACTTCTACTCTTCACTTTTTGCAAGCTGGCTTCACCCTACCTTTATCAAACACTCTAGGTTCTCTTCCAGTTTCATTTGCCTTCGAAGCTATTATTTTATGACTTAACTCGATCAGCCGTTGTATCTCCTCAGCCATGCCTGTGTAACAGATAAATAATCAGTTTACATTGAAGCTTCTAATACCAATTTGACCAGAAACATATATGGTAGAGGAAGAAGCACTTTTAGTTGGATTTGCTACAGGGGAAACACCCCGGTATAATTAAGGAAGAACTGGTTCATGCTTATCCTGAGGGTCAAACGAGTTATAGAGCCACGCGGGAAGTTTAAACCGGCAAGAGAGAAGCGCGTAAAAAAGGGGCTGTGTCATTGATGGCTGTCCATTTCATTTTGTTAATTATATTACAAATTACGTACATAGCCTGCGAGCAAGCTCTCAATTACCAATTACGCTTCCCTATCCGCTATGAATTCCTATTTCGGATTCCAAACGCAAAAATTTCCTGGATTCCAGAATCCGGATTACCTTACATTGGGCGATACATTCTAAGTACCTAAAATATGCTGTTTGGCGTTTAAGTCGTTCGTATCATAGACTTAACTGTTTTCATCCTAATGTTAGTAGATCAGAAGTGCAGGATAGTCTTTTACAGCTGTATCAGTAATGATTAGATTATTTTCAGCGAAAAAGCCTTAATTAACAACTGAATTAATGCCTTAAGAGGGAGTACTGCGGTTCCTCGAAGACTCCTCTCGATATCTTTCAAAGTAAAGATAAGAGAATTTAAAGCGAATAAATCAACATCAATTCAGTTTTAGGATACCATTTCAAGACTACATACCAAGAATTGGCGGAATCGAAGTATCGTGGTATAGGGGTAAAACTCGAATCTAATTTTCGAACTTTGAGCCTGCCAGAGTTACAGAAAATCACTTCAAATTAGTATCTAAAAATTACCTTTAGTTTCACTTGCTCCTGTAGGCATCATCATTATAGTTAAAATTAATGTAGCAACCATTGTCAAGAAGGATAATGCCAGAACAGCTATCATAGCGGATAAGACATGACGGCTTATAGCAATATTTTTCGTAGGTTGTTGTCGTCTTCTTTCATCGATTACATGGTAAATTTGGTTTCCTGCTGGGTCTTCGGACGGTGAAGACTGGATAGTTAATAACTGTGGGTAATCACAAGGATGTTCATTCTTGGGTTCAGCTCTGGAGGCCTGCATCCTTTTGGTTGTGACGAAAACTCTGAGTAAGACTTCTTCAAGGTCACAGTTTGTAGTGAGTGACACTTGTAATAACTTAGTGCCTAACTACATCATTAATATGATGTCACGGGAAAATAAATATTTCGGTTTTCTTCAGTGGTTTCTTTTGGCCATCAAAAAAGGACATCCGGTTTTTGGCTCATGGATGACGTAGTCATGCCATGGGCTTTTGGAGGCACTCGAATGGCACTCGATCACTCACTCACTCACTCACTCAACTCAGCTCATAGAATCAGTATGACTAAACTGCGATTGGGAGTTCATACTTCTGAAAATGATGCAACCTTCATCAATTTAACAGATCATGATAGAACGTTATAATATTTGCTCAGATTAGACAATGACAATACTTCAAAACTATAACCAAATATGCCCATCTAATGCTTAGAAAACGAAAGCAGTTCCTGAGTCAAAATCCGATTATAGGATGACAGGCTTAGGCCGGTTCAGGAATTTGGGTCCCCGCTGCTCAGGTAAAAAGTTTTTACCTAAATCACAGTAGGAGCTGAAAGAGGAACCACACTAAAAAGAAGACAAGCCTTACGAAAGTGTTGTAAGCCGGATTAATCGTGACATGTTTTAGCGGCAAATTTTCCTCATTAAGGTATACGATTTTTCTTGAACGCCTGATATGTAATACAATAAAACAATGGGACAGGGCTACTCTTTATTTGCCGTTATATTTTTCGTGGCTAGCGGTTTCGTGTCGGCTTGGTTAAAAAATATACATCACCGGAATTTTCAGTTTTAAGACGCCTTTATCTTAGTTGCCATTGTCTTGGTAAAGGATTACATAAACATATTTGTTACAGAGGAGTAAATACTTCAAACGTTTATTCGTTAGACAGAGGAAAATAAATGCGCCAGTGTATTTGTCAGACACAGGCAAATTAATGCCCCAGTGTATGTTGTAAGACACAGGCAAATTAATGCCCCAGTGTATTTGTTAAGCACAGGCAAATAAATGCCCCAGTGTATTTTGTGAGACACAGGCAATTTAATGCCCCAGTGTATTTGTTAAACACAAGCAAATTAATGCACCAGTGCATTTTGTTAAACACTGGCAAATTAATGCCCCAGTGTATTTTTTTAGACACCGGCAAATTAATGCCCCAGCGTATTTATTAGACACAGGCAAATTAATACCCTAGTGTATCTGTAAGACACAGACAAATTAATGCCCCAGTGTATTTGTTAAAGATAGGCAAATTACGGTATTTGTAAGACACAGGCAAATTAACAGCGTATTTTGCTGTATTTGTTAAACACAGGTAAATTAATGCCCTAGTGTATTTGTTAGACCCAGGTGAATAAGGACCAGTTCTTTGCTTGAAATATTACTCAGCATGCCTATATATTTCATGCTCAAGTTTACAGATATTTCCCGATGAAAAATCCAGATTTTTTGTCGGCTGGCTTATATTTACATGTATCGGGTTTATAACACTGACAAAGTGTAACATTTCTACGAGTGAGTGATTGTCCTGTTCGAAGCCTCTTAGCTTTATTGATAGTGACGACCATGCTGTGAGCGCCTTGTGATTTCCCGCGATTTCCCGCGAAGCTGCCTTTACTCGCTCTTTACATCCACAAAACCGCGACACAGTACTACAGTACTACAGGATATAAAGTACTAAAGTATTCGTCCCGGATTCATATGGTCTACCTGGCCGCAAAACAACAGAACAAACTTATACAATTTCCGGTTTGTGCTAATATTGGTGTGCTTTTCACCTTAGATATTCTGTCACAGGCTTGCGAGAAGCACATCCAAACTCGATTTTCTCTTTAGCAATTTCGGTTTTGGAGTATTACGTAGCCAATGTTTCAGTGCTTAGCGATGCTTTCTGCCTAAGACACAGAGCTAGGGATCCGATTTCAGTAGCCTTCTGCTTTCATCGAGTCGCTTTATGAACTCGCGATACCGGTTACCATTTTCATTGCATTTCCGCAGTTCATATATGATTTATTTCATATATCGTTAACACTCATTTCTTTCACGGAAACATATGAACCCACAATTGACCTGCTCCCAACGTCAGTGGCTTCATAGCTCAGTTGGTAGAGCATCGCACCGGTATCGCGATGTCACGGGTTCAAACCCCGTTGAAGTCCTGAATTTTTTTCAGGCTTCTCACCGCAATTGCATAAATTGCGTTCACTCCGACGATCATTTCTTCATTTTCATTTCATTTCCGCAGTTCATATATGATTTATTTCATATACTGTATCATTAACACTACATTATAAAACTTATTCATTTAGTTGGTATTTCATTTACTTTCCAACTGATTTTCCAGAAACTTTTTGTAAATGGTGAAAAGACTTTATTTCTGAGGAATTTCAAAAAGAAATTTGAAGTTAATGGTGAATTATATATAATACTTAATCCAATATTAGAAATTAAAGGGTTAAGAAAACTGAGACACTTGAGAAAAAAAAGCACCAACAAGCAGAACATAGGATGGGCAACAAAGTAATGTTTTTGGACTGGATTTTGCCAACATAACAAAGTCCAAAAATTCGTACCTTAGCCTCATTCAATGATTTTCATATGCTGGTGTCATTTATACTGACGCTATCCGTTTGGCAAATTAAAGAAAACCTGGGGCTCCGTTTGTCGAAAGTCACGGTAACTTTTCGGCCCCGAAATCAAATATTCAAATCGAAATATAAAGAATAAGGACGCGGGTCCTGGCAAGCAAACAACTCCATTTTGTTTCACTAATTGTTAGTGAAATTAATTGTTATCATGTTAGATACAAAACTATTGAAACCTTTATCTTGCATGTAAACAACAACAGCTTTACCGGCCCGCTTAACATATCGGGGCTTTTGAGAAACGGACCCCTGGGCCGATAAGTGATCATAACTTTACAAAGCCTTGAGAAGGGAACATAAGGACAAACAATTCGAGGACAAAGTTGGAAGTTGGTTGGAAGTTGCAAGTTGCAAGTCGGAAGTCGGAAGTTGAAAGCCCATCCTCTGCTTTCAAGGGTATTAAATTAATTCCCAGGCGCTGTTTGATTGATTAATATCCTGCTTCATTTTGCCTACACCAGCGTCAACATTCAGCCCGCCGATAATGTGGCTTGGACATTTAACAAAATTAAT